CCCTCCAAGACGTGTGCATAATCGCATGCCCAGAGGAAGCATTGATCAAGGGCAGTTTTTTTGCTTTCTTAGACTGCTTTCTCCTCATTCTTACTGCGTCAGAACCAAAATCAGTCTCTATTTGGTAAAGTTACCTTGAAGACTTTGCCTGTTTTTGCATCGCAGCCACTCCAACCGCGACAGACTGCCGAGGAGGGTCTTCCTGTCACGCTGAACGTAGAAGCAAAGGGCAATCCCCTACCTTTCCTGCGTTGGTATCGCAACGGACAGCCCCTGGAAAGTTCGCCGGACTGCAAGGTATCGCAGTTGGGACCTTACACGGCAACACCCGATGTCCTGATGCCGGAGGCAGCAACGATGGCAGGCGAGGTCGAGATTCCCGAGGTATTTCCTAGCGATTCTGGCACACTCCTCTGTGTGGCCGAAAATGCCTTTGGCAGAGCCGAGACGAGTCTCCAGTTGGATGTTCAACCAAAGGGTTAGTGTAACACCAGTTGCTATATAACATGTTTTTCCCTTTCAAGTAAACAAAATCGCATTCAGAGCTGACATTGCACTGTTGCATTTTATTTCAGTTCCACCAATTACACCAGTAGCCACTCAGCCGGTACAAGTATATCCTCAAAAGCCGTGGTTTTCAACGGTAAGACCCCCAGAACCGTGAGGTATTTATTTTGCAAATACAAATTGCCTACTGTTAATATTAAAGTAGACACAAAGTTAACACGATTTTATAATTAGGTGTTGGAACCGGAAATCACCGTACCTTCAGGATCGCAGATCGTACTGACCACAGAGGCAGTTGGCAATCCTCTGCCCTTCCTGCGATGGTACTTTAATGGGACACCACTCGAGCCCTCACCGGAATGCAGTTTGTCCCAAATGGGTCCAAAACTAGACAACGTGGAGGCCATCCAGGATGAACCGGTAGCCATGACCGGGCGTTTGGTACTTAACGAAATATTCCCCACAGACGCCGGTGTCTACAAATGCGTAGCCGAGAACTCCGCGGGTCAAGCTGTCACGGAACTTGCTCTGAATGTGCTCGCACCAAGTGAGATGCAACTTTTAGCATTGTTCCCTGAACCTATTACCCAAAAGCTCGTTGGCAACTCGTTCTACTTTTGCTTTTTTTAATTTACCTCCATTTTAGCTCCAATGCCACCTACTGGAAGCCCGCCGAAGTTCACAAAGTTGCCGCCTCCAGAAATACCCTGTTCTCCTGGCGAAACTGCCGTTTTGGAGATACAAGTGGTTGGCGAGCCTGTACCGAAGGTCTCATGGTATAGGAGCGGTAAGTGGCAGTAGCTACGTTTGCCTTTATTCGGCCTATATTTCGGGCAGGCAGATAGCGGCAGATCTTAGCATTGTTACACCTTTCGTTCAATCAAAATATAGTTTTTTTTACAATACAGCCATCTTGAAGTTAGCCATACTTAAGGGGCAGTCTCAAAAGATTAGCACTGTTGCTAGAGGTAATTGGTAGGTTTTTGCCTCGAATTTATGTACGTGTTCCGTACGTAAATCTAAAACGTTGTTGTGTTTCTCGAATTTTAGGTATTGAGCTTCAGCCCAGCCGAAAATATAAGATCGATTCGCACCCGGAAACTGGTATTCATCGACTGACGGTCCTCTCAGTGGAACAAACCGATGTATGCGAGTATGCATTCCGTGCCACGAACGAATTCGGAAGCGTGGAGTCCGTATCGCGGATTGTTTTGAAGCAGTCGTAAGTACCGTTTCACCGCATACACATGAATGGAGTAAAAACGGATGATAAGATCATAAATATTTATTTTATTCTCTGTTTTTATGTTTTGCTAAACGTCTGAAGAATAAAATTTGGGTGTCGGGGCTTGTGTATCAAGATAAATTCGCGGGGAGACTGAACAATGCTGTGACTAATCCAAACAATATTGTTTCGTCTTCTTGATTTCTCTGACTCTGTATCCAGCAGTCCTGCGTACGTCAATAAACAGGGCAGTACGGCACCATTAAGCAAAATACTAAAGGATAAACAATGTAAAAACTTTAACAATGGCTATACAAAGTCAAGAACGAAGGGAGTTGGCCGAATCGCCTGACTCTATACAAAGGAACAACACGCGTTCGACAACAATGCCACTCAGGGCAAAACCAATCTTGCGGGAGCGTGTATGTGTTAGTGGTAGATGCGGCGACCACTGTATTTACCTGTGATTTCATTAGACAGTTCTGCTGGTCTCCCATTGGTCTGAAAGACCAGCACGAAAGGGGGCGGACGTGTACAGAGGCAATGCTGCGCCGGCAAGGGGAGGGGGGTTGGCGGCCGCTAACCGCAAGCGTTTTGAGGTCAGCGAGGTGGTGAAAGCTGCAATCGAACCAGAGGAGGAGGGGGAGGGAAAGGCAATATCAAATGCCAGCAGCCCAGGGTATGCAATTGGCCTCTAGAATGCGTCGGCCGGCTGTTCAAGTGGCCCTCGCCGCAGCTTA